AAAGGCAGCTAGAAAGTGGCATCAGGCATCACGCATATGACTGCAAGTATGTAATATAAAGCTGCGTTCAGCTATTTGTTGTACTGCAGACCATAGGTCCAAGAGTGCCGAAAAGAGTGAATGTTAGTGACATCATCTGCAAACCTAGAGAGGTGTCAGGCTTCAAGGGTTCACCTCCATGGCAGATGATATTGATAATCTGGACAGGTCTAAATAATTCACTGTGCCTGTTCAGTCGTGATACGGAACATCTGTGTAAGCACTCTGGTGAAAGAAGGCATGAGACAATCGTGCCTGCTGGAATGTGTCTGGAAGGGTGGCCCTCCCGGCAAGGCTGTCAGCATCCTGATTTCCCTCCATTAGAGGACCAGGCAACATTGTAGGAGACCTGATAGGCGTTATAAAGTAAGGAGCATGGTGACGCTTCACGAAATGTAAAGGTCATTAAGAAAAGTGTAATGCCAAGGATCAGCTACTTCCTTCAAGCAGCACTCCTTCTGAATGTTAATCAGTCCTGCAACTTATGCTAACAGAAACAATATTAATTACATGTGAAAACATTCGAAAACAGTGAATCACCATCACAAGTTACACAGTTCACAAAATGTCCATAGACTCRAAMRTYCTGMCAYCCCSCTGCCYCRRGACYGCTCAGCTGCKGCCAGCGGGCTAAYCTTGGARTAAGATAACTSAGCAACTTTTGCTCCGTGCCAGAAGAGGGGAAAGGAGGGGGAGCGACCTTGCTTGCTGTCACTTCCACTGCTTCCCTGTGCCAGGGAGGAGGATGAGGCATTGCTTTCTCAAGGTCATGGGAGGCAGGAAGAGGAGACGATGAAAGAGCCGCCCCACCTACTTCTGGCCCTGGGCTCCTGTCTCTTCCTCTGCACTGTGCTTCCATTCCATCAGGAGAATAATATATTGCATGAGAATCGGTATCATTTTTGGAATTAGCTCCCAGTTCTGATTGGGCGGAAACAGATCTGGCTCTTGTTCAGGGTCTACAGGTCCTGGATCTAGGGGATTGTCAGGTAGACCCACACAAGCCACAGTGCATTCCTCATCTTGATCCATACCTTGATCTTCCTCCTCATCTCCTTCCTCCTCTTCCACCCCGCCAGTCTGGGTGCCTGTATCATTCTCCTTCTCAACYTCTCTGTATATCCTATCAATCCCCCCACACAAATATGATCTCACTCTCCTCCACACATCAGTGTCCTCCTTAGCCTCTTTCAAGAGTGTCAGTATCTTTCCCAAAGTTACTAATTCTTGCGTTTTTCCCGCCATCGCTCCGTCAGTTAGCGCTGCTCACATTTTTGTCCGATTCTTCTCGTTAAAAATCTCTGCCAGAGAGGCTATAACACCTTCCTTAATCAATCTTTTCACACACTCCTGGGCCTGCTTCGRCTTGATACAAGTCTTAAATTCTTTGCCCAACTCTTTCAGTACCTTCATCGCGGCTTACTTCCATTGCTGCCTTGCAGCTTTCCCTCCTACCGAGCGTACCACGTCGGGGCCAACCACCACCCCCTCCACTGTGTGACTCACGTGTCTCACCAGTTGTTGTGAACTGCCTTGATCACGTCGGGAACTCCCTTGACAACTGGGCGGTTAGAAATCTCATGAAGTTCAACAAGGGCAAGTGCAGGGTCCTGCACCTGGGGAGGAAGAACCCCGGATACCAGAACAGGCTGGGGACTGACCTGCTGGAGAGCAGCCCCGCAGAGAGGGACCTGGGTGTCATGGCAGACGACAAGATGGCCATGAGGCAGCAGTGTGCCCTGGTGGCCAAGAAGGCCAACGGGATCCTGGGGTGCATTAAGAAGAGTGTCTCCAGCAGGTCGAGGGAGGTGATTGTCTCCCTATACACAGCCCTGACGAGGTCACATCTGGAGTACTGTGTCCAGTTCTGGGCTCCCCAGCACAAGAGGGATGTGGAGCTGCTGGAGAGAATCCAGCGCAGGGCTATGAGGATGATCAGGGGCCTGGAACACCTGCCCTGTGAGGAAAGGCTGAGAGAGCTGGGCCTGTTCAGCCTGGAGAGGAGAAGGCTGAGGGGGGACCTGATCAGCGTGTATAAATACCTCAAGGGAGGGAGGGAGTGAGGAGGAGGGGGCCGGCCTCTTTTCAGTGGTGGCCAGCGATAGGACTAGAGGAAATGACCACAAGCTGAGGCACCAAAAGTTCCACAGGAACTTGAGAAAACACTTCTTGACAGTGAGGGTGACAGAGCACTGGAACAGGCTGCCCAGGGAGGTTGTGGAGTCTCCTTCTCTGGAGACCTTTAAAACCCGCTTGGGTGCAGCCCTATGCCACGTGCTCTAGGTGACTCTAGTGCACCCTCGGTTGGACGAGATGACCTCTGGAGGTCCCTTCCAACCTTAAGCATTCTATGATTCTATGATATTGATATTTCAGCTTGATTTATTCATCTTATTATCATTAGTTCTTATTAGGGAATGCTTTATGCATTATACATATATATATTTTTAATGGATTATACGTATTTCATTTATACAAATGTATAAAATATTTAAACACATATAAATATATGATTTATAAATATATATGCACATTTAGCAAATGTGTACATACATATATGTGTGTATATATATATCTATAAATATGTGTAAATAGTAGGAAAGGACTTCCTGACATCCTGATTTCTGAGACTCCTATTCCTGCTTCTACCTTCTGTATTCTTCTTTTTTGCATTTACACTCAGTCAGGAATTTCCTGTTTATCCTTCATCTTCATTATCCATTATCTTCATCTACTGTAAGACACTCAAAAAGGCAGGAGCTTTGCAGAATGCAAGCCTCTGTTTGCTTATCATTATTATTTGTCAACTTGTGCTTGAAACACTAAGCTTCAGCCTGAAGTTCATAATGTAATGTCATTACATGCTGTCAAATTTTCTACTAGGCTTTTGTGCAGTATGCTTGCCCTGAAAATTGCTTGGTAAATTTGTATCGCAGCCATTTGTCTTTGATATGAGTTACAACATCATCAACCCCAAATCTCAGAACTAATTCTGGTTAAACTTGGGAAATCTATCAAGATTATAGTAGAATACTTTTGGTATTTCCAGTATTGGAGATTTTTGCAACAGTCGTCCTCAAAATCAAATACCCATCAGAAATTTCTATAAGATGCTGAGCTACAATGGAACATTTTTATCAAAGCACCAAAAACAAGCAAACAAACAAAACATATTTTTCTGCCTAATCATTTATGTACGAACAGACAAGGAATTGTTGCTACAGCTAAGAGTTAGCCAACACTTTTTTTGTGTTGGAGGGATTTAGGACCTGTAGTGATTTCCCAAGCCAGTTGATCTATTCTTCTGCTCTTAGAGGAAGTCACCTTATAGCAGTTCCACCCATAAATCCAAGTACAGAGGTACTAAATCCAAGTACAGAGGTACTAAATTTAATTTACTTTTTTTTTCCCAATAAAGTTTCTTTCAAAACAGCATTCTTCTTAGACTTAAAAACTCTCAGCCAACTCCAAATGAGAGTTCTAACCACAACCAGTGATACCATATTCTCTCTGCATTAACACTGGCCTTTTGTTTACATGGTCCTTCTCCTTCAGTCATCTTTACCCGGTTTCACTTATCTATAAAAGCTAATATGTAAAAAGGTAAAAACTCCTTTGAGCCATCGTTGTGCAAAAGTCATGCAGCATCCTCTTGTTTAACAGTCTCTATTTCCCCAGTCAACCTCATGCCCATTCTTTGCATTTGCAGTTTTGCTTGCTTGAACATAGATGAGCAGAACTGTCCAGAGTATTCCAGGTGAGCCTAGAAACACCTCTTTCAGCAAGATCGTTTTTTTTCTATATTTCAAACAGAAGAAACCTGTGTTTGTCTTTTTTTTTTTCCCTTTTTCTCATTTGCCTTTCTTGCATTTGTCTTATTTCCATATGACATCACAGTAGTGGATAAGAGTTATCTTATGTTAATATGTTAATAATCCTTCATTGTTCTCTCCAGTGTTTATTCAATAAACCTCCCAGTCTGTCTGGAAATTCTTGCTATTAATTCTTATTACAAAACTGCAGCCACATCATCAAGACCATTCATTTCTATTCACACCATTCAGTGTCTTCCAAACAGGCATTATCAGCACTTCCCATTCCAGTTTCCATCCTGCAGCAATAAAATATTTGCTTGCTATAGGCTGAGCTGCACCATAAAAAAACATATTTTTCATAATGAAATGAACCTATGAGGATTCAGAATGAGCTGTTTTAGAAAAATCCCAAGCCACCTGCATTTTACTATTAAACACTGAATGGTATGTAGCCTGCTTGATTAGCTAGTTGAATCTCCTCTGTGAATTTATTTTATATTCCAGCTCTAACCATACCAATTAAGTTAGCTTACTAAAATGCAAAAGGTACATTTTCAGGTGCAGTTTAGGGGGAAAAATAAAAATTGGAGGAAAAAAAAGGTTCTGGGCAAATAATGCTTTGAAATTAAATAATTAACTAAGAAGTATGTTTAAGTAGCTCACTATTTCAGAGAACTTTAGAAAGTGATTATTTTTCATGTTTTATATAGCATTTTATTCTAAGCACATAGAACCCATCCCCATGAGGTACTAGATTGCCCTTACAGCTAGTAAAGTTCATGAGAATTATGTGGAAACATCTTTGGATAGTTTCCATGCTCAACAGCAGTAGATTTTATAATAGAAATGGAGGTTTTTTAACTTTACATCCTGACCAAAACATGCAGAGTTCTCAAGTAAGTCAGAAGATTTTGCCTTCTGTATCATAGAAGATACAAGTATCTTCTATGCATTAACAATTGTGTTGTGTAACAGTTATATATTTTGTTTGTTTTCATAGAAAACAAACTGTGGCTGCAGTTTATTTGTTTTCATAGAAAAGAAAAAGATATACTATTAGCTAAGATACCAAAATACAACCCAAGAGGAGGGCGAGGGAGGGGCGAAGGACGACGACGTCGGGTGATGGAGGGCAAAGGAGGGGAATTAGGGGCGAAGGAGGGCGACATCGGGAGACGTCAGGTGACGTCGGGCGACGGAGAGGCGAAAGAGCGGGACGTCGGGCGACGGAGAGGCGAAAGAGCGGGGACGTCGGGCGACGGAGAGGCGACGTCGGGCGACGGAGAGGCGAAAGCGGGTGACGTCTGGAGAAGGAGGGGCGACCGAGGGCGACAGAGGGGCGACGGAGGGCGACGGAGGGCGACGGAGAGGCGACGTCGGGCGACGGAGGGGCGAAAGCGGGCGACGGAGAGGCAAAGGAGCGGGGACGTCGGGCGATGGAGAGGCGACGTCTGGAGAAGGAGGGGCGAAAGCGGGCGACGGAGGGGTGGCGGAGGGCGCAGGAGGGCGACGGAGGGGCGACGGAGAGACGAAAGAGGGGCGACGGAGGGCGACGGAGAGGCGACGTCGGGCGAAGGAGGGGCGAAAGCGGGCGACGTCTGGAGAAGGAGGGGCGACCGAGGGCGACAGAGGGGCTGCGGAGGGGCGCAGGAGGGCGACGGAGGGGCGGTGGAGGGTGCAGGAGGGCGACGGAGGGGAGACGTCGGGCGACGGAGGGGCGACGTCGGGGCGACGGAGAGGTGAAAGCGGGCGACGTCTGGAGAAGGAGGGGCGAAAGCAGGCGACGGAGGGCGACGGAGGGGCAACAGGGGGCGGCGGAGGGCGAAGGAGGGCGACGTAGGGCGACGGAGAGGCGACGTCTGGAGAAGGAGGGGCGACAGATGGCGACGGAGGGGCGACGGAGGGGCGCAGGAGGGCGACAGAGGGGCAGTGGAGGGTGCAGGAGGGCGACGGAGGGGCGACGTCGGGCAACGGAGGGGCAACGTCGGGGCGACGGAGAGGCGAAAGAGCGGGGACGTCGGGCGACGGAGAGGCGACGTCGGGCGAAGGAGGGGTAAAAGCGGGCGACGTCTGGAGAAGGAGGGGCGAAAGCGGGCAACGGAGGGCGACGGAGGGCAACGGAGGGGCGACGGAGGCGCGGGGGAGGGCAAAGGAGGGCGACGGAGGGGCGATGTCGGGCGACGGAGAGGCAAAAGAGCGGGGACGTCGGGCGGCGGAGAGGCGACGTCGGGCGAAGGAGGGGCGAAAGCGGGTGACGGAGGGGCGCAGGAGGGCGACGGAGGGGCGGCGGAGGGCGCAGGAGGGCGACGTTGGGGGGACTGAGGGTGAAGGAGGGCGATGTCGGGGCGACGGAGGGGGAAGGAGGGCGAAGTCGGGGCGAAGGAGGGCGACGTCGGGGAGATGGAGGGCGAAGGAGGGCGATGTCGGGGCGACGGAGGGAGACGGTGGGCGACGGAGGGCGAAGGAGGGCGATGTCGGGGGAACCGAGGGCGACGGAGGGCGAAGGAGGTCAACGGAGGGCGACGGAGGGCGACGGAAGGCGAAGGAGGGGCAACATCGGGGCAACGGAGGGCGACGGAGGGCGACGGAAGGGCGACGGAAGGGCGACGGAGGGCGACAACGGGGCAACGGAGGGCGAAGGGGGGCGATGTCGGGGGGACCGACGGCGAAGGGGGGCGACAGAGGGGCGATGGAGGGCGAGGGAGGGGCGACGGAGGGCGAAGGAGGGCGACGGAGGGTGAAGGAGGGCGACGGAAGGCGACGGAGGGCGCAGCAGGGGCGCAGGAGGGGCGACGGAGGGCGAAGGAGGGGCGATGGAGGGCGAAGGAGGGGCGAAGGAGGGCGACATCGGGGAGACGGAGGGCGAAGGAGGGGCGACGTTGGGGGGAGCGAGGGCGTAGGAGGGCGATGTCGGGGCGAAGGAGGGGCGAAGGAGGGCGAAGGAGGGGCGAAGGAGGGGCGCGGTCGGGGCGGAGGGCGATCTCGGGGCGACGGAGGGCGACAGCAGGCAACGGAGGGCGAAGGGGGGCGATGGAGGGGGGACCGAGGGCGAAGGAGGGCGACGTCGGGGAGACGGAGGGCGAAGGAGGGCGATGTCGGGGCGACGGAGGGAGACGGAGGGCGACGGAGCGCGAAGGAGGGCGACGTCGGGGCAACGGAGCGCGAAGGAGGGCGATCTCGGGGCGAAGGAGGGGTGACGGAGGGCGACGGAGGGCGAACGGGGGCGATGTCGGGGGGACCGAGGGCGAAGGAGGGCGATGTCGGGGCGACGGAGGGCGACGGAGGGCGAAGTAGGGTGACGGAGGGGCGACGGAGGGCGACGGAGGGGCGACAACGGGGCGATGGAGGACGATGTCGGGGCGACGGAGGGCGAAGGGGGGCGGTGTCGGGGGGATGGAGGGCGAAGGAGGGCGACATCAGGGGCGACGTCGGGGCAACGGAGAGAGAAGGAGGGCGACGTTGGGGGGACGGAGGGCGAAGGTGGGCGACGTCGGGGGGACCGAGGGCGAAGGAGGGCGAAGGAGGGGCGACGTCAGGGCGACGGAGGGCAACGTTGGGGCGACGGAGGGCGAAGGAGGGGCGAAGGAGGGGCGACGGAGGGGCGACGTGGGGGCGACGGAGGGCGAAGGAGGGGCAACGGAGGGGCGACGGAGGGCGAAGGAGGGCGAAGGAGGGGCGACGGAGGGCGAAGGAGGGGCGACGGAGGGACGACGGAGGGCAAAGGAGGGGCGATGTCGGGGGGACTGAGGGCGACGGAGGGGCGACGGAGGGGCGATGTCGGGGGGACTGAGGGCGACGGAGGGCGACGGAGGGCGACATCGGGGTGACAGAGGGCGACGGCGGGCGACGGAGGGGGACGGTGGGGCGACGGAGGGGCGACGGAGGGCGACGTCGGTGCGACGGAGGGCGACGTTGGGGCAACAGAGGGCGACAGAGGGCGACATCGGGGCAACAGAGGGCGACGGAGGGCGACGGAGGGCGAGGGACGGCGACGGAGGGGTGGAGGAGGGCGAAGGAGGGCGACGTCGGGGCGACGGAGGGCGAAGGAGGGCGACGTCGGGGGGACCGAGGGGCGACGGAGGGCGACGTCGGGGCGACGCAGGGCGACGGAGGGCGACGTCGGGGCGAAGGAGGGGCGACGGAGGGCGAAGTCGGTGTGACGGAGGGCGAAGGAGGGCGACGGAGGGGCGACGGAGGGGCGACAGAGGGCGAAGGGGGGCGACGTCGGGRGGACCGAGGGCGAAGGAGGGCGACGTCGGGGCGACGGAGGGCGACGGAGGGGCGACGTCGGTGCGCCAAGGAGGGCGAAGGAGGGAGACGTCGGGGCAACAGAGGGCGACGGAGGGCGACGTCGGGGCGGAGGAGGGCGAAGGAGGGCGACGTCGGGGCGACGGAGGGCGACCGAGGGCGACGTCGGGGTGGCGGAGGGCGACGTCGGGGTGAAGGAGGGCGAAGGACGGGCGACGTCACGGCGAAGCAGGGCGAAGGAGGGGCGACCGAGGGCAACGTCGGGGTGACCGAGGGCGACGTCGGGGCGAAGGAGGGCGACRTCGGCCTCCACACAGCAGGGAGCCGGAAACACTGTTTTCCTTGCAGGGGAAAAGAGTCTCTCAAAAGGACCATACTTAGCCAGAATGCCCTCTGCTCAGAGGCCTTTTAGCAGGGAGTGATTATGGGCCTAGCACTTCGGAATGAACGACACCTGGCTGCCCAGAGGGCAAACAGCCCTTAAATACTCCTTGCCATTTAGGGGCTGGCTTCAGAAAAGCAAGGAGCACAGAAGTGCCCTGGTGTTCCTCTCCAAAGAGTCTCTATGAAGAAGATCAGTAAAGCAGAGAAAGCTCTGCTCAGAGTCTTTTTAGGAAGGAGCGATTAGTGGCTTCGTAATGGCACCACAGGCCCGAAATTTTCTGAATCCGGGCGAGGGACGGCGGCGGGCGAGGGACAGCGGCGGCGGGCTCCACACAGCAGGGAGCCTGAAAGACTGTGGTCCTTGCAGGGGAAAAGAGTCTCTCAAAAGGACCATACTGAGCCAGAATGCCCTCTGCTCAGAGGCCTTTTAGCAGGGAGTGAGTATGGGCCCAGCGTTTCAGAATGAGTGACACCTGGCTGCCCAGAGGCCAAACAGCCCTTAAATACTCCTTCCCATTTCAGGTTTGGCCTYGGAAAAGCAAGGAGCACAGAAGCGCCCTGCTCTTCCTCTCAAAAGAGTCTCTATGAAGAAGGTCAGCAAAGCAGAGAAAGTTCTGCTCAGACTCTTTTTAGGAAGGAGCGATTAGTGGCTTCACAATGGCACCGCAGGCCCTAAGTTTTCTGAAGGTGGGCGAGGGAAGATGACGTTGGGCGAAGGGCGGCGATGTTGGGTTCCACACAGCAGGGAGCCTGAAACACTGTGGTTCTTGTAGGGGAATAGAGTCTCTCAAAAGGACCATATTGAGCCAGAGTGCCTTCTGCTCAGAGGCCTTTTAGCAGTGGGTGAGTATGGGCCCAGCACTTCCCAATGAGCGACACCTGGCTGCCCAGAGGCCAAACAGCCCTTAAATACTCCTTCCCATTTCGGGTTTGGCTTCAGAAAAGTAAGGAATATAGAAGTACCCTAGTGGTCCTTTCGAAAGAGTCTCTATGAAGAAGCTTAGCCGGGCAGAGAAAGCTCTGCTCAGAGTCCTTTTAGGAATGAGCGACTAGTGACTTCCTGATGGCACCACATGCCTGAACTCTTTTGAAGGCGGGCGAAGGACAACGACGTCGGCGAAGGACGACAATCTTTTAGGAATTAGCGAATTCTGGCTGCCTGGAGTCAGAACTGGACTGATATCCTTCTCCACAATTAGTGTTATGTTTCGCGATCATAAAACCAGAGAGCGTGGCAACTCCGTGGTAATGGGAGAGGAAAGTGTCTCCTAAAAGCACCATAGTGAAGTAGAAAAACCTGTGTCCAGAGACCTTTTAGGAGTGAGCAGCTGTTTGATTCCCGGAGCTAGAATCGGTCTGAAATCCTTCTTCACAATTAGGGTTAGGGTTCAGGAAACCAGAGCGCGTAGCAGCACTGTTGTAGTGGAAGTGGAAAGTGTCTCCTAAAAGCACCATAGTGAACTAAAAAAAACTCTGTTTGGAGACCTTTTAGGAATGAGCGAATTCTTGCCGTCTGGATTCAGAACTCTCCTGAAATCCTTCTTCACAATTAGAGTTAGGGTTCAGCAAACCAGACACCGTAGCAGCACAATTGTAGTGGGAGTGGAAAGTGTCCCATAAAAGAGCATTTATGAAGCAGACAAATCCTCTGTTCAGAGGCGTTTTAGGAATGAGCTACTCTTTACAGCCCAGAGTCAGAGCAAGCCTGAAATCCTTCTTCACAATTAGGGTTCTGGTTCAGAAAACCGAGAGAAAACAGAGAGCGTAGCAGCACCGTTGTAGTGTGATCGGAAAATGTCTCTTAACAGCACCATATTGCACTGGAAAAACCTCTGTTCCTTTTGGGAAGGAGCGACTCCTGGCTGCCCGGAGTCAGAACTGGCCTAAAATCCTTCTTCCCAATTAGGGTTAGGGTTCAGAAAACCAGAGAGCGTAGCAGCACCGTTATAGTGGCAGTGGAAAGAGTCGTCTACAAGAATTTTAGTGAATTAGAAAAAACCTCTGATCAGAGGCTTTTTAGGAGGGATCGAATCCTGGCTGCCCGCGGTCAGAACCAGTCTGAATTTCTTTTTCACAATTAGGGTTGGGGTTTAGAAAATGAGAGAGCGTAGAAAAACCATTGTGGTGGGAGTGGAAAGAGTCTCCTAAAGGTTTTTAGTGAACTAGAAAAAAAATGACCCAGAGCCCTTTTCGGAATGTGTTCCTTCAGGGTGCCCAGAATCAGAACAGTACTAAAATCCTGCTTTAGAATTAGGATTAGGGTAAGGTTAGGGTTCAGAAAACTGGAGAGCGTAGAATCACCATTGTAATGGGAGTGCAAATAGTCCCTTAAAACAACCTTAGGAAACTAGAGAAATCTCTGCTCAGAGTCCTTTAAGGAATGACGGAATCCTGGCTACCACGAATCCAAACAGGCCTGAGAACGTTTTTCACTGTTAGGGTTTGTGTTAGTGTGCAGAAAACCAGAGAGCATAGCAACACTGTTGTAGTGGGAGGGAAAGAGTCTCCTAAAAGAACCTTAGTGAACTAGAAATACCTCTGTTGAGAGGCCTTTTAGGAATGAGGGACTCCTGGCTGCCCAGAGCCAGAACCAGCCTGAAATCCTTCTTCACCATCAGGGTTAGGGTTAGAGTTCAGAAAACCAGAGAGAGTAGCAGCGCCGTTGTAGCGGCAGCCCAAAGAGTCTCCTAAAGGAACCCTAGTAAACTAGAAAAACCTCTGTTCGGAGACATTTTAGGAAGGAGCGACTCCTGGCTGCCCAGAGTCAGAACCGGTCTGAAATCCTTCTTCACGATCAGGGTTAGGGTTCAGAAAATGAGAGAGCGTAGAAAAACCATTGTAGTGGGAGTGAAAAGGGTCTCTTCAAAGAGCCATAGTGAACAAGAAAATCCTCTGTTTGGAGACCTTTTAGGAATCAGCAACTTCTTATTGCCGAGAGTCAAAACAGGCCTGAAATTCTTCTTTCCCGTTAGCAGGAGGGTTAGCGTTCAGAAAACCAGAGAGCATAGAATCTCCATTTTAGTGGGAGTGGAAAGTGTCTCCTAAAATAACCTTAGTGAGCTAGAAAACCTCTGTTCAGAGTCTTTTAAGGAATGACAGAATTCTGGCTGCTGAGACTCCAAACAGGCCTGAAAACCTTTTTCACTCTTAGGGTTTGTGTTAGGCTTCAGAAAACCAGAGAGCGTAGAAGCACCGTTACAGTTGAAGTGGAAAGATGTCAGGGAAATGGTTAAACTGAGAAGCAGTCGGGAAAAATGAGGCATTGAGAGGGCGAGGAACTGGAAGGGGGAGGAGCTAGAGGAACTGGCAAGCTCGAGAAGCTGTAAAGCCAGGAGACAGGCACGAGGAAGACCCATGGAGGACCATAAATGGCAAGAGGCAATGTGCCTTCTGGTGATTGGACTATTGCGAGTACAGGGCACTGTCCGGTCGAGTATTACGGAATAAAAGGGAAGAGTTACAGCATTAAAATGGCTATTTCTTCCCCCCCCCACAAATAGTCCCCTGCGATTCCTTGGAACAAACGACGCCACAGAAAGAGTCCAACCTTCCTGCTCAAGCAGGCACACCTAGAGCATGTGACACAGGGTGGCATCCAGGCGGGTTTGGAAGATCTCCAGACAAGGGGATTCCACAACCCCCCTGGGTAGCCTGTTCCACTGCTCTGTCACCCTAACAGTAAATAAGTTCCTCCTCACCTGGAGACGGAACTCCCTGTGCTCCACCTTATGGCCATTACCCCTCGTCCTGTCGCTGGCCACCAATGAAAACAGCTTGTCCCCTTCCTCCCTGCATTCTCCCTTCCTGAACTTACACACGTTAATCATATCCCCTCTGAGCCGTCTCTTCTCCAGAGAAAACAGGCCCAGCTCACTCAGCCTCTCCTCGTACGGGAGATGTTCCATTCCCTTAATCATCTTGGTTGCTCTTCTCTGGACCCTCTCGAGAAGCTCCACATCCCTCTTATACTGGGCAGCCCAGAACTGCACACAGTACTCCAGGTGAGGCCTCACTAGAGCTGAGGAGAGGGGCAGAATCACCTCCCTTGACCTGCTGGCAACACTCCTTCTGATGCAGGCCAGGATCCCATTGGCCTTCTTGGCCACGAGGGCACATTGCTGACTCATGGTTAACTTAGTGTCAACCAAGACTCCCAGGTCCCTCTCTGTGGAGCTGCTTTCCAGCAGGTCGAGCCCTAATCTGTACTGATGCCGGGGGGTTTTCCTCCCCAGGTGCAGGACCCTACACTTGTCCTTATTGAACCTCATGAGGTTCCTCTCTGCCCAACTCACCAGCCTGTCCAGGTCCCTCTGGATGGCAGCACAGCCCTCCGGAGTGTCGGCCACTCCACCCAGCTTGGTGTCATCTGCAAACTTGCTCAGGGTGCACTCCATGCCCTCGTCCAGGTCATTGATGAACAAATTGAACAGCACTGGGCCCAGTACTGACCCCTGGGGGATACCACTGGCCACAGGCCTCCAACTGGACTCGGCCCCATTTATCACCACCCTCTGAGCTCTGCCATCCAGCCAGCCCTCGATCCACCGCACCGTGCACTCATCTAGTCCACTCTCCTGGAGCTTCCGTATGAGGATATTATGGGAGACGGTGTCAAAGCCTTGCTGAAGTCAAGGTAGACAACATCCACGGCTCTCCCTTCATCCAGCCAGCCTGTCATCCCATCATAGAAGGCTATGAGGTTCGTCAGACATGACTTCCCCTTGGTGAATCCATGCTGACTGCTCCTCAGCAGCTTCTTCTCCTCCATATGCCTGGAGATTCTCTCTAGGATGAACCGCTCCATCACCTTTCCAGGGACAGAGGTGAGGCTGACCGGCCTGTAATTGCCCAGCTCCTCCCTCTTGCCCTTTTTGAAGACTGGAGTGACGTTGGCTCTCTTCCAGTCCTCGGGCACCTTGCTCTCCAGGACCTCTCAAAGATGATGGAGAGAGGCTGAGCAATAACCTCGGCCAATTCCCTCAGCACTCTTG